AGTCAAACACTGTTTTGTCGAACTTCGACACACCAGGCAGATGCATCTGTCAATCCACAGTCCTACCTGTGCAGTAACACACAAACACCGTTTTGTCGAACTTCAATGTGTCGACCTTATACGGCTGTCTCGAGGTGGAAGCTTAGACCCTTTGTATGCTTTAGGTTTTCATTATGGTTCTATTGTGTCGAACCTCGGATATCTCGAAGTATCTACGTACGTCCCTTCAACATCGACACAACAGAGGCAACTATGTTTGTCGTCAGAGGCGACTAACGGGATCGGGTGGTCAGGCTCGCTGACTTGGTTGACGCATGTCATCGGTTCCCAATTGCGCAGATCGATGCTCATGCTGTTGATCACTGGATTGTCTGGTCCAGACTCAATCATTTACAGACCGCCGAATATTGCTGAGTGCGACATAAAACTAAACTCACTCACTCACTCGACACAACAGTGTTTGTCTGTATCTATAATTTTACGTCCACTTAGAAAATAACGTACGAATCATGAGGCATTACGAAACTTCTGTCTCAAGGCATGGCGAGGGACTTCATGAGGGACAGATAATGTATCATATATTACCAACTGTTATTTTGCGAGAAAATGAAAAAGTGGAAACCAACCAGGACGACGTCCTTATTAATTATGTGCGACAATGCGTTGTGACGTCAGGTTGCTACGCAAACAACGAAAACTATGGACTGACCTTGCCAATCAGTTTGAATCAGAAAGTATGATTCTGAGGGGTAGTTACAGATATCTTTGCCTCCGCGTATTAGTTTTAAAGAATAACTGACGAGTATCAAGGAATTACGGATTTAACATAGCGTATGCTCGTCACAAATGCCAAGTACTGAGCTTGGATGTTTCTAATCTGTGGCATGGCGGAATACACGCATTCCAGCGTACCTAAATGACCCAAACCACACCACCCCCGTGGTTTAAAGGACAGAGTATCCACAGGGGCGTGTATCGCTAAACCTGCCAAGGTATACAGCAAATGACACCAACCACACCACCCCCGTGGTTTAAAGGACAGAGTATCCACAGGGGCGTGTATCGCTAAACCTGCCATCAAGGTATACAGCAAATGACACCAACCACACCACCTCCGTGGTTTAAAGGACAGAGTATCCACAGCGGCTTGTAACGCTAAAACTGCCAAGGTATACAGCAAATGACACCAACCACACCACCTCCGTGGTTTAAAGGACAGAGTATCCACAGGGACTTGTAACGCTAAAACTGCCAAGGTATACAGCAAATGACACCAACCACACCACCCCCGTGGTTTAAAGGACAGAGTATCCACAGTTACGTGTAACGCTAAACCTGCCAAGGTATACAGCAAATGACACCAACCACACCACCTCCGTGGTTTAAAGGACAGAGTATCCACAGGGGCTTGTAACGCTAAACCTGCCAAGGTATACAGCAAATGACACCAACCACACCACCCCCGTGGTTTAAAGGACAGAGTATCCACAGGGGCTTGTAACGCTTAAACTGCCAAGGTATACAGCAAATGACACCAACCACACCACCTCCGTGGTTTAAAGGACATAGTATCCACAGGGACTTGTAACGCTAAACCTGCCAAGGTATACAGCAAATGACACCAACCACACCACCCCCGTGGTTTAAAGGACATAGTATCCACAGTTGCGTGTAACGCTAAACCTGCCAAGGTATACAGCAAATGACACCAACCACACCACCCCCGTGGTTTAAAGGACAGAGTATCCACAGGGGCGTGTAACGCTAAACCTGCCAAGGTATACAGCAAATGACACCAACCACACCACCTCCGTGGTTTAAAGGACAGAGTATCCACAGGGGCTTGTAACGCTTAAACTGCCAAGGTATACAGCAAATGACACCAACCACACCACCTCCGTGGTTTAAAGGACATAGTATCCACAGGGACTTGTAACGCTAAACCTGCCAAGGTATACAGCAAATGACACCAACCACACCACCCCCGTGGTTTAAAGGACAGAGTATCCACAGGGGCTTGTAACGCTTAAACTGCCAAGGTATACAGCAAATGACACTTACCACACCACCCCCGTGGTTTAAAGGACAGAGCATCCACAGGGACTTGTAACGCTAAAACTGCCAAGGTATACAGCAAATGACACTAACCACACCACCTCCGTGGTTTAAAGGACAGAGTATCCACAGGGACTTGTAACGCTAAAACTGCCAAGGTATACAGCAAATGACACCAACCACACCACCCCCGTGGTTTAAAGGACATAGTATCCACAGTTGCGTGTAACGCTAAACCTGCCAAGGTATACAGCAAATGACACCAACCACACCACCCCCGTGGTTTAAAGGACAGAGTATCCACAGGGACTTGTAACGCTAAAACTGCCAAGGTATACAGCAAATGACCCAAACCACACCACCCCCGTGGTTTAAAGGACAGAGTATCCACAGTTGCGTGTAACGTCAAAACTGCCAAGGTATACAGCAAATGACACCAACCACACCACCCCCGTGGTTTAAAGGACAGAGTATCCACAGAGGCGTGTAACGCTAAAACTGCCAAGGTATACAGCAAATGACACCAACCACACCACCCCCGTGGTTTAAAGGACAGAGTATCCACAGAGGCGTGTAACGCTAAAACTGCCAAGGTATACAGCAAATGACACCAACCACACCACCCCCGTGGTTTAAAGGACAGAGTATCCACAGGGGCTTGTAACGCTAAACCTGCCAAGGTATACAGCAAATGACACAAACCACACCACCTCCGTGGTTTAAAGGACAGAGTATCCACAGAGGCGTGTAACGCCAAAACTGCCGTCAAGGTATACAGCAAATGACACTAACCACACCACCTTCGTGGTTTAAAGGACAGAGTATCCACAGGGGCTTGTAACGCTAAAACCGCCAAGGTATACAGCAAATGACACTAACCACACCACCTCCGTGGTTTAAAGGACAGAGTATCCACAGGGGCTTGTAACGCTAAACCTGCCATCAAGGTATACAGCAAATGACACCAACCACACCACCTCCGTGGTTTAAAGGACAGAGTATCCACAGGGGCTTGTAACGCTAAACCTGCCATCAAGGTATACAGCAAATGACACCAACCACACCACCTCCGTGGTTTAAAGGACAGAGTATCCACAGGGGCTTGTAACGCTAAACCTGCCATCAAGGTATACAGCAAATGACACCAACCACACCACCTCCGTGGTTTAAAGGACAGAGTATCCACAGGGGCTTGTAACGCTAAACCTGCCATCAAGGTATACAGTGTCACTGATGGGGTCTTAGTACTATATAAAAGGATCCTTGGGAGAGTATCTACCAGTAGAGAAGGACAGACAGACAGACAGACATGCATGCATGCATGCACGCACGCATACATCCATACATTCGTACACACATCCATACATACATGCATAAATACATACATACATACATACATACATTCCCACACATACATGCATGCATGCACACATCCATGCATGCATGCATGCATACATACATACATAAATACATACATATAATACATACATACAAAGACGTTTGAGGATGTCGCTTTGGGATGGAACAACGACTGGTCAGGTTGTACTGATTATAGGTGCCTGAGTGGTATATCCATAGTAAACTGCGGTATCTCAGGGGGCTAGCGTTACAGTAGACTAACAACTAGTCTCTGAAATGAACATATTTTACTGAAAAAAGGTTCATAGTAAAAAAAAAAATATAATGAAAAGGAGCCTATTCATTTTCAGAAGCTGAGGAAATCTAGACTTGCCACATTTTCTAGACTTGCGTGGGCTTTCTTGGATATATTTGCTTCAGGGTCTGTACGACAGACTAGCGTTAGAGAGGCGGCATCAGTTCGGTCAAGTACCATCAGCCACACACATCACGCTAGTCTGTCATACAGACCCTGAAGCAAATATATCCAAGAAAGCCCACGCAAGTCTAGAAAATGTGGCAAGTCTGAAAATGAAAAGTCTCAGGGCTCCTTTTCATTATATTTCAATTTGTTTACTATGAGCTTTTTTTGTAAAATATGTTCATTTCAGAGACTAGTTGTTTGTCTAACATCATGCATGTACGATACGTCTCTCTTTAACTGCAACAATCTTGAAATTTCATCCCACCTCACGTCAGCTCACTTTTATCAAATAAATACATGTTACTCTCATGCCGCCTGGGTGTTACTGCGCCATTCACCTACTTGTTGATAGGTAACCAATGTACATCTCCATCTTTATGGTAAATACCGCTACAAATGTTTCAGTTTAGCTCGATTGAATGACAGGACGCTGCACACAGCCCATAAATCCAGTTATACTTGAGCTAGTTTGAAGATGTAAGCATTGGTGCCTGTCGTCACTACCGGAACGATATTATGGTGGCGTTAGGGTCGGGGGTATATGGAGATAGAATGGATATAGCATAGGATCGAAGGTTATGTCGTAATATTGTTTCAACCTATTTCCACATAAATCTTGAGAACAGGCTGGTCCCCAGAACCTAAGCTTGTCAATCGAGGCGATTATATGGGCAAGTAACTTGGTGATTGTGTTATCACAACGCATTCAGACGCCAATGGTTGATCAATGGTTTGTCTGGTTCAGACTCGACTCAATACGTTGTAATATAGCTTACAGTCGTTGTAATATAGCTTACAGTCGTTGTAATATAGCTTGAATATTGCTACCAAGCGGCGTTAAACAACGACCAAAGTGTAGACAGGGCAGAGCAGGTCTAAATACCTCATGCTCTCTGCCACAGCCATTGGGGATCGGGTGGCAACAATGTGCTACCTTGTTGATTGTATGTCACCGTTAAACATATCATGGAATACAGTTCATGCAACTTGCCCAAAGTTGGTCAACACAGATTCGATAATTTAGTCATTATTCAGTCATATTGCGGCGTGAGACAACACGCACGCACGCACGCACGCACGCACGCACGCACACACACACACACACCAAATCAAGTCAACACAGTTTACAAATTACCTGTTTATTACATGACAAAAGAGTACATGATCTAACTAAAATAAACTAGGTACATGTGATCTCGTACTTGGGGTACTTAGATTCGAAAAAAACTACAATGACGCCATGAAGATTCGATTTATGAGATGGTTCTACGACAAACGTATAGATAACGCTTTCTAATGATAGCATGTGTATGGTACAAAGACAGTGACTATTAATGCTGTAGAATTTCAACGGCCCCTTCCCAAGAAACTCAAACGCCTCTTGGTTGTACATATCGTACACGGGACCACCATATATATATATATATATGGTTGAGCACTAGAAATACTGGCCGGTATCCCCCTCGGGGTCTAAAGCACCATCCTGATACAATACATCGTTAATTCTTCACAGGCTTGTATACGTTCCATAAAACCGTCAATACAAACGACCACGGTGTCTGTTTTTGAAAGAAGAACCAAAAACAAGTTGCAACTCTTGGTAATGAGCACTTCTCCATACAGGTGCTTTTAGCGATCCCTACCGTTGCCTAATACTGACGCAGTGCGTTGAGCAGATGGCTAGAAACTAAGGCTCGTGTTGTCTCTGAGTAAACAGCGCGCATTGGTCGACCACTCGCTGGTTTCACATTCGTGACCAACTCGTTTTGTTCCGGGACAAGCCGAATGGAGGTTACGGAAAGGGACGAGTGGTGACGAATGGCTGTTTTAATCCATTCGTGATCAACTCGTGTTATTCCGGGACAAGCCGAATAGCGATCGTCTTGGAGGTTACGGAAAGGGGCGAGTAGTGACGAATGGTCTTAATCTTGTGAAATAGGCCGTGGTCTGATTGCTTGACTAAAAACAGATATTACACCGATAATCGGTCGGTTAAGGGAAGGAATGTATCTTTTAAAGCCTGTGAAGTAGTGACGATGTGTACTACAAATCTACATGGACCTAAAGTCGTCTATTTTTGAGCAAACTGCAAAAACGAAAAATAAAAAAGACTAGAAAAACAGAGACAGGGGGTGATGTATAAACCAATAGGAAAATACTTCTGAATCGCAGTGTTTGCATGTTGATTGCAAAAAGATATGCTGCCATGTTTTTGTCAGCAGTTCGAGTATGTAAATATGACGGGGATGATTGCATCTTCAGAGATACAGCGCCTGATTCATGAATCGTTCGTAGGTACAAAACCTGAAGCAGTGACATTTGGTATATACATGGTACAACAGCTTCACCTGGGTATATATTCTTATCGACAATATCAAAGAGGTAGATTCAAAAGTTTTATAAAAATACAACATTTAAATTTGATTTTTTTTTTAAACTTAAAAATGTTGTATTTTGTATTTTTCTCTGAATTCGTAATTCGGGAACAAATCCTCCTTGAAATAGCATATTTTGATATTTTGCTACATCAACGTTTATTCCAATGTGGCTATTCGCACATGCGCAGTTGGACCTGGTCCAACTCAACACGAACTTGAACTCCCCACACCACCGCAGACATGGACACAGTATACAAAACAATACAAAGCGCCAGTGTGAGGAGTTCGAAAATTTGAAAATGTTCTAGTCTTGACTTGATTGTTTATTCTTTTTCGTTTTCTTCCGTCAACTTGACTTTCTCCTCAATTTTCTCGTCCTTTTCTTCGATAGAGTTCTGAGTGTTCTGCGTGTCGTTCATTTCAACCAGCTCGGTCTTGGCACCCTCCTCCGCCTCGATGATGGGGTCCACCTCCGTCTGGGCGGGGGTGTACGACTGCTTGTGTCGGAGGAGACACTTCTTGGCTTGGGCCACGGTGGCACCGGCAGAGAAGACGTACTCGTACAGAAGACCGGCGATCACGCCCCCGACGATTGGCCCAACCCAGTAGATCTGGAACAAAATACACAATGAATCAGGTAACGTCGTCAGCATCATCATCATCATCATCACCATCACCATCATCATCATCATCATCATCATCATCACCAATACCACCACCACTGCCATCATCATGAATTTTGTAGATTTTAGTAGTAGTAGTAGTAGTAGTACTAGTACTAGTAGTAGTAGCAGTAGCAGTAGCAGGAGTAACAGTAGTAGTAGTAGTCGTAGTCGTTGTTGTAAAATGTTAGGCAACAATTGCGATTATATTTTTTCAAAGTGCCGTCACTGCCAAACAGAGTGTTACAAAATATTGTACTACATTTAACGGGTTTTTCGATTTTCAAGCCAAGAGGCTTTTGAGACATGTTTTCTCGCGGTAGGTGTCAAACTGATATTTGGGAAAGGGAATCTCAATGTATTTAGGGCTCGTGGTACATTATGTCATCCAGCCAATGCATATCGTTCGATGCCTTTCTTTAACAACGCCATATGGCTGGAATTTGCTGTGTGCGGCGTAAACTAAACACACTAAAACTCCTTTAAGTAGCAAGGGGTAGGGGTAGCCTAGTGGTTAAAGCGTTCGCTCATCATGCCTAAGACCCGGGTTCAATTCTCCACATAGGTGCAAATTGTGAAGGCTATTTCTGGTGTCCCCTCGCCGTGATATTGCTGAAATAAGGCTAAACCAAGTCGACTGAGTTTGGAATTTAAGTGTTGTAACCACTTTGTAATGTGAATGTGCAGCGTGTAATTCTATCGTGTTTATTCTATGGGAAGCATGGGCAACGGATGCGTGAATTAACTGAAGCCATAAGGTGGTACATTTTAAATTGAAAATGTATTTTCTGAGATAATGCATTTCGAATTCTTTTGAAACATGACACCTTTTAGACATGTTCAAATATGGTGTCAGTCAAATTAAATATGTACAGCATATCTGTATAATCAATTCCTTACATTTGCCTTTGTTGAGCGGGTTTTATTTACATAGATTTAAATAGGAAATAGGAAATTAATAAAACACTCTGAGTGTGCGAAACAATGTAGAGCAAGATGCGGGAAAAGAAATAAGAATTTTAGTGAATTAATTTTTTTTAAATCAAATGTTTAATTTGGTCCGCAGATGTTATAAAATATTTAGATATTGACAAAATAAATATACATGGGCGTGTTTGTTTTTGAAAAACAGAAAAACAGCACCGTCTATCAACTCGTCATCACGAGTTTACAAGCATAGACATAACCTCCAACACATGTCGAGAATTTACACGGCAAGGCGCGGTTTTATCACAGGCTCAAAGAGCTGCATAAAATTCCTCGCTTGTCCTTGCGTTCGCTTTCAACATCAACAAAAATCTTAACCTTGGCTTAAAGTTTACTCGACAAAAGGAAAATCTAAACACATGTACAATCTTGTAAACATGAGACTCCGATGCTTTCTGACAAAAACATGCGTAAGTACATGCTACTCTCAGTCAGCGCCCCCTAGCGGAAATGTATGTTTACCGGGGTCAGAGGACGCCCATCACCACAAGATAAGACCACCCCATATGGCCTTGGATTGTAATTCGCGCACATATAATGGCTCTCGCTTCCAGAGCTAGCTTCCAGAGCTAGTGTAACTCGTGATTATCTTTAATGGGACAGTTCTAGTGTTGTGTAGTTGTCTGCGAATGGGTCTGAATTTCATCATGACGTAGTACCGGAGATTACCCACATGTCTGTCTATTTAGATAACTCTAGATACTTCATTCTATCGAGAACACGTGGTTTTCCGCCAGTTTGTTTATGGGTTTTTCGATCGTAGTAAAGAGTGCCAGAGAACAAACGCATTCTTCTTGAATCAATATATTCTTGCTCATTGCTGCTACCGGAAATTACTCTCTGGGGTCTGAATTTATGTAATAGATGGTGTATATTTGTATTTTTTGATCAAATGACTTATTTATCTTTTCGAGGGCCTGGCAAATATGTTTTCATTTGTGCAGCTATGGATGAAAACGATTTGTGAACATGTTACTTGACCAGAAAAGAAAATGTTCAGTTATAAGACTGAACGACTGAATTATGTACTTGTTACGTCACATGGAACTAACATTTTAAAGGTCGGAATATGATCCTATTCTGTTATACATGATGTTCCAATGTATTCCACAAATGTCCTTCAAAATAACTTCGCAAACATCATATAAGGAAACATCCGCTTCTTTTGCCGAATTTAAAATATTTGTTTCCTAGGGGCTGTTTCCAGTTGTGATAAAACCATTTTTGTCGCGAGTGAAACAATGGATCGGTTACCTGACACAGAAGCATTTCTTTCGCTTCACATGAAATATAACATTTAACTCATGTTTTAAGTTCAAACATTGTTTCAAAATCCGCTAGATGACTACGCGCAGTGTGCTTGGAAAACACCTCTCAAAGTGTCAAAACATCTTGGCATTGTTTCATTTTGCGTCTGTTGACACTGCACTTAGTTCAAATATGTGCGACAATTTCCTAGGTCGTCGGTCGTTGGATGGTTGAGCGGGAACAATTTCTGAATATGATTAGTGAGAAGTTTTTCTTGCCAAGACGCGGAGCGGGGTATGAAACTGATACTGTAATTAAATTCCGGACGACTTGTTTTCTTGGTGTTGCAAGGCAAAAAGACGCGCCCAGGGAGGGTGGGGTGAGGGGGAATGGGACGCTTGCTGGGGACAGGCAGGGAAATGACACATTTCCCAGGGATATAAAGTAGTGCAAATACTTTGGGAGAAAGAGGCGGTAAAACGCCGAGGAGAGTATTAACAGAGACGACTGAGTCTTAAAATCATTATTTTGAAAGTTTTACCACAGATTTTCACCTCCTTTTTTCAGATAATGAACCGGGTAACAAAGAAATAATTTACAGACAATTCTGAAAACCTCTACATAATCCTAGATTATAACAAAATATTTTTGTTGGCTCTTTGTGTTGTTATCCTGACTTATTGTATGTGTTTCTTAAAGAGCTCTGGGAAATTAAGTATTGTACTGTGTTCCGTTTGGATTTGTTTGAGGATAGATATATATTTTTAATATTTTTAAATAAAACTTTCTGGGACAAAATATTAGTCTACTTGCAGATATGTTTATATTTACAATACTGCTTTCAATAATTGCAGGATATACACACTAGTGCTGGATATTGCCTTGATTCTCATGTTGCGATTTTTCAGATTCATCTCAAATATAAACATGTGTTAACATGAACTATTGCAAAATGAAACAAAACATGATTCAGGTGAACTACCTGAGCTTAAAATCCCTCTAATAACTAAGATCCTTGACTAGAATGTCATTATACAGCCCTACAAAATGTATAAGACTTAGGCCTTTATGATGAATTGATATCAGGGGTATCAACCATTTTGTTGCTATAGAAATCAAGGGCAGATAATTCAACTCTGGATGACCCAATATATTGCAGAATCTGAACCATATTGCGATATTCGTATCGCGAGATACTGTAAAGGTATACTACCGGTTTACCAGTAATATTGCACAGCCCTAATACACACAGTCGAACTTCAGGAAGACGGACGGCGATGAGTTGGAGAAGATGTTTGTCGTTCCAGGTGACAGAATGGGGGCTAATTATGTTTGTCTGGGTGTACAGCCTGTATGGTGTACCGACACGTAAACAATGTCTGTGGATGAGGATGTACATGCAAATTCTGGGGGGCCCTGTCCGAGGAGAGCACTGGCGGTGATATGTTGCAGACCTGGTGGACATAATTGACCTGGTGTCTGTTTATACAGACACTGGTGATGGATGTGTGTCTTCATCTGGGATAATGGCGTGCAGAAACAAGGAACCGACTGTACCAGCAAGTAGTTAACGTCCATCTGACGTTCTGAGACTTGTCAATTTCCGACAAAGCTTTCCCCTTGACTAATTTACCATATAATGTATTTTCATCCTTATAATGTTTGCGTATATATAGTTATTGAACATTGTCCCCGTTTCTACATCTTGGATTTGTAGTATCTCGAGTGAGTGAGTGACTGACTGACTTGGAATTAAAGCACAATATGATCTCTTGTATCTCTGGTATCTTGTGTCGGCAGTGTTTCTTGCTTTGTTTCTTTGTTGTTTACCGTTATACTCAGCAATATTCCAGCTATATGGGGGCGGTCTGTAAATAATCGAGACTCTACCAGACAATCCAGTGATCAACAGCATGAGCATCGATCCACGCATTGGGATACGATGACATGTGTCAACCAAGTCAGCAAGCCTGACCACCCGATCCTGTTAGTTGCCTTTTACTACAAGCATGGGTTGCTGAAAACCAATTCTAACTCGGATCTTCACGGGTTGTTTGATAGTTTGAGAGTGAGTGAGTGAGATGAGTTTAACGATGCTTTTGGCAGTTTTATAGTTATATCACGGCTTGTCGTCTTGTAGGAGGAAGGTTTGAGGTGATGCAGGCCACTGACGTTTATCACCGTGACGAACCCCACGAGCAAGGAACCTTACCATATAACAGACAAGAGATAACAAACTTATTAAAGTCCGAATGGTACAACTTGGCGTCGTAACCTAGGTGCGTTCTAAATGTTTCCGGTGCCATGTTGGTTTGGGCGCCTTAACGGCCGCAATTCGCTGTTCAGTGTCACGTCATTTTATAACTGAAATAAAATCGTGGGTTCGATACCATTATGGTCTGCGATATGCCCGTGCTCTTGTATTTCACCAGCATGCCAGTTGTCCGAGCACCAGGGGGCGTTGGGGTAGCCTAGTGGATAAAGCGTTCACTCGTCACGTCGAAGACCCGGGTTCGATTCCCCACATATTTAATGTGTTTTGGTGTCTCCCGCCGTGATATTTCTGGAATAGTTCTAAAAGCGGCGTAAAACCATACTCACTCACTCAATCTTATAAATACTCACAACACCTTTTTATGGTGGTTCATTGAAACTTAAGTACTCTCTGACTGAGTATGGTTTTACGCCGCTTTTAGCACTATTCCAGCAACATCACGGCGGGGGACACCAGAAGAAACTGAAGTAAAATTCAGTAAAATGTGTTTTGTGTCTTTGTTATTTGTCTGTTTTAGCCGCCATGCTGTTGCAGTAGTTTCGAGTGCGGTGTTAAACGACCAACAAACAGATTTCGAACTGTAAATGTGCAACGTACCCAGTGATCAGTCCATCCGCCAACGATAACTGCCGGGCCGAAGCTTCTGGCAGGGTTCAGGCCAGAGCTTGTGAAGGGAATCTGAAGGTAGAAAACATAGTGAGTTCAAATGTCATGAAAATGATGTGATTACAAACAAAACTAAAACCAAATAACAAGATTAAACGTATTAAACATTATATGCTATGTTTTTGTACTTATAGAGTTCGGAGATTTGAAATGATTAGGTCAACCGTGAACGAGAAACCCGGCTACCGAAAGGTATTCATAAGGTTCCATGAATAATTATGCAGAATGCACTTGTTAGCGCATTTAACACAGAGTCAACGTACAAACAGCTACTCTGTTATCCAGCCGATCAATTCAAACCGCTTCCAACTTTTCGGTGCACATAATTTCTCTCGCCTACAAGAGTAATTTGATTTGGACCACAGTTTTAGCTCTTGGTTACTTGAATTGGAGTCTGTGGTAGCAAAGTCCAGGCTATTTATCAGAATTATACTGATATACTGATCCCCAAGTTATATTGGGGATTACATTGTCTCCGTAAAGTTCAGATCTTAGTACTTTGGGGGGTAATTGAGGCCCATCCAGGATTCGAACCCGGTCCGCCTGAGATACTAGTATACATGTAGTTCCCTGGCTCATCGAGGGTGTCAATGCACTGTAGACCTGTTCGTATGTAGATAACTGATGATTTATGAAAGAAATTCCTCTAACTTCAATGGACTCCTATGTTCCTATCTAAGGTTCCTAATACAGCTCCTCCCCACCGCGCACCAGTCATATATAACGCTTGCTACACCACGTTCAATCTACAATATAATATATGGCTTAAGCGTATCACCAACATTGCCGTTTTACATTAACATCCACAGCAAGATTGCTTTTCATAGGCCTTCATGTTTATTTCGTTTATCAATACCGCCCAGAGATATGTTTATTACTCGGAACTATGACTGGAATTGAAAACTAACCTTATGCTTAATGACACACAAATATTCCTGGGTCAACTTTAACAAACTATCAGCACATTCGGAATGGCTATCAGCGGTTCTGCGTAACACGTGTCCTCGATAATGAACCATGGTTCAACTTTTCGTCTGTTTATGGTCTTAGCTTGCTATGGTGTTGCAATAAAGGATTCCAAGTTCAGAGTAATGGGTTTTTCATACGGGTCTTCATCTTTGACACTGTAGTTCGTAGCTATCGTGTATATGTTATTTCTACGCGATGGGCGTAAGTGATAATCGGTTGTACACGTGTTATAACAGGTGTTACTTGTAAGTCCGATGTATTGGGCGTGTAATTCAACCCTGTCATAACAAACTTGTTGAGGAATAGCATGGACTCGAATCATGCCATTGAAGTGGTATTTCAGTTTTTTAAAGTAATCTCTATGTTGGAATGAATTAGATTAAAGGAATTTGTTCCAGAAAATATTGTTTTTAAATAATTTGTTCTGGTTTTGTAAACAATGGATCACTATGCTGGAAGAGCAAGAAATTTGTTGGGCACCTTTTGTGCTTGCCGGCGTAACATATCAAAAGTTCCAATAATGTATATATTATATAATGTATATATGACATATATAATGTCTTATTTGATGTTACATTGAATGTTTAAATTTAGAAATAAATTCCACTTTCAGTGTTCATTGTTCTTGACTGAAAATTAATACGGATGTTTTAGAAGTCTTGGTTTACAAGACAAAAGTTATCGAAGGCAAAATAACATTATATATATTAACGTATTATATTGGTATATTCTATTTGTTATAATGTATTATACTATATATCATACAGAAGTCCTCGGAATCTCTTCCAGTTTTAATTAAGAAAAATAGACTTGCCAAACATGTTTGTTTGTTTTTATATTTCATGAATACCGGACAGTCGCTAAGGATGACGTAGTGATTATGAAATACAGGGATGTACATCGCGAATAACTTCCCAACAGATCATGTATTTGACGAGGCCATTTTAAAGGCCAAATACTTACGACTTCTTCAAACCAGAAGCGGGATTGGTTCTCATTAGTTGACACAGCAGAGCTTCACAACACTATACCAATAGCCCGCAGTAATCAAAATATTAACCATCATTATATTTCTATATTTGCTTGGATATCGTTCATACCACAAGGTCAGTGAAAGGGTAACTAGGAACAGGAAACGGTAATTAGCAATTATTTACACCACTGTCGTCGAGTAGACTGGCTCCAATATAGTTATGCCCTATTCCATGAAAACAGTTGCGTATTGGAGCATATGTTTAAAAAACTACAAAAGTGCCCAGTTTTACTTCACGGGGAACAAAGAGCCCTTCTATGGCCTTGAATCCAACGCGGCCTAATCCGACAGAGTGCAATTGAAAACGCCAGTCGCCAGAAGCTAAACTTAATTTAGATAGGAAGCCGGGAATCTCGTTTCACGCCCACATTTTGAAATTTACGCCGCTCCAGTCTGGGGGTCATGGTTGAGAGGTCAAGGGGGCGTGGCACTGTAAACATGGTTGTGTTGGGAGAACGTGACTCAGTGAATGGGAAACAATGGTGTGTGTAATGATGGACAAAGAAGATAGGGGTCTTTGTCAAGGAGGTTTCATTGTTTAATGTTTGTTGAAGAATTGATTCTCTTGAAAGGGATTTTATCAATCTAAAACCTCGCAAAATAATTCAATTTATTTATATTTTAATAAATTGTATTCACGCATATAAAAGAAACCCCGGAGATGCAGTAACGACTGCAGTAGTGGACGTAGTTGTAACTACATTAGGAGTAGTAGTAGCAGCAGCAGTAGTAGTAGTAGTAGTAGTAGTAGTAGTAGTAGTAGTAGTGATAGTAGTACTACTAGTAGTAGTATCACTCGTAGCAATAAGACAAGTAGTAGTAGTAGTAATTGCTGTAGAAGTAGAAGTAGTAGTTGTTGTAAAGGGGGCCAAAATGAAATGCGAGAACGTTTGGACAAAACTAGATAAGCATTTCAACAGAGAGGACACAGAAGACAATAGCGTGACCGACGTCAGCAGTAGTAAAAGTAGCAGTTGCAACGTTTACGTCATAGAAGCCAGTAGCGGGAGCAATGCAACATGATCATCGGAATACATCTCACAATCTTCTTATTTATTTATTTAATGAAATGTAACTTCCACATATAGCGACATCCTTACAATTTATTTTTAAAAACACGAAAAAAAACCCAACACATTCCTTTGTCCTTAAACGCAGAGTTTAAAAAATATCTTTGTAAACAGATACCCTGTAATTAGAGCACGGTCTCTGTGAGTGAGTTTTAAAGTGTGACCTAGAAAATCCGTCGGTATCATTAGCATAGTGAGATCAATGCAAGGGGCTTTTACGCTTTCATGAATAGCTGATTGAGAGACAAACGTATTTGATTTATGGGTGCCAGCTTTGTTAATTCACCCCCAAGATTGTTCCGATCCCCGCGGGCCTAGCAGCCGCACGTGAAGGAGGCATTCATGGCAGGTGTTGGGGGGAAGGGAGGAGGGAGGGGGTAAACAATCGCGTGCTCAGTGCAACCACCTAACCCTCTTCGAGCGTCCCTACCCTCCCGCGGTGACTCTTGAAACAGAAGCCCCCCACCCCTCTCCTCTCTCGGCGCGTCAGTCAGTGAATTCCTCCTCTCCCGTCAGTGTTTCTCGGGGCCAGACAGAAGCCAGAGACGGATCAAAGCCTCCCGGGACTGTCAGCGATACTACCCGAGAGAGGGATGTCGCCAAGGAGATTTGAAACTGACCAATGAGTGATCGCGATTATGGTACTGGCAGATCAGAGCGTTTTATTGTGATTCATTGTGTAATTAGTCTTTGAAACAGTTGAATGGTTAGGAAAATGAACTCTGTCCTTGATTTATCATCCACCAACACAATAAATATTCAAATCGAGATGGTTCTGAAATAAGACTTTATATGAACAAAAAATCGCTTTGAAAGAAAATACTCTGAATCAATTTGTAGAATCCGATGATCGAGTGCTCCAATTCAAAGGCTCTTCATTTCTACACGTCAAATTAGTTTTGAAAACAACACTGATCTCATTAACGTCGTAAAAGCGGAAACGTCCACTTTACACCCAAAAGGAGTATTAGTGATCAAATAAGCGCGGGAAATCACACCATACTGGCACAAAACCTTCGTTAAAACCACCGACATATAGTGACGCAACATTCAGACGTCACTCTGGTCTACATCCGGGTCCTAGTCTGGCGTTTGTCAAACGCCACATGTTTACAACCACCGACAACCGAGACGCCACTTTGTTTATTTTCCCTCCAGTTTGCACTTCCACCGACGCGAACGTTTACAAATTCACCCCAGGATGCTAAAGTAGCAAAATCTTGACATTGTGCGCCCAGTAACATGACACCGTCGTTTTTTTTTTTGTCTTGTATTGTTTTTTGTCTCCCAATTCACTGACATACGAAAAGCTATCTTTTATCTATGACAGACCCGTTCAAACCTACTCCCTATCACATAAATAGAAATTCGACCCGACGAGTTGATACGATCGAAAGAAAGGACTGCTGTTTTTCAGCACATCTATCTCGACATTGAAGGCACTGTGTAAAAACATGGCTGAAGTTTTTCGATAAGCTGTGAGATCTTGAACGGGTTGACAAGGAGACAGCTGCACCCAATGGCTGACTGGGCGTGAGGAAGTTTATCTTCCCGATATTTGATAGTTATTCATTTATCCAGAAGTCGACACCCATTTCTAATGAAGAGCAGGATATAATATGAGCAGCTCTTAAACCAAGCATATTTTAGTCCGGACCTACAAAAATAGCCTTCATTATGCCATTGTTTTAGCAAGGGGCGTACATTTTAACCTTAATAACTTCAGGAAAAACATTATTTACACCTGAACCCCTGTCATACCAAGGTATTAAATCATGTTTCAAAACATGTGAGCAAATACACTGACAGTAAGCATGCATTGGTTTATTTACACTATGAACACCGTGTTAATCTAAGGGACTGATTATCTACACTAGGATACGTGTCCTTCACGTCAATAATGTGATTAACGAATGAGTCAGGTCTTTAGAAGATATAAAGAATTTCTTTTTAAAAACGATTTCTGTGAGAAAAATAAACCTTCTCCCGCCATGAGTAACTAAAACATTGTTACTTCCGCGTGAAATCCCACGTACACTCCGTATTTGTTAGTTCTGTTTTATCAACGAAACCCAAACCCACTGACAAATAATCCCACATATTACGAACGCCTCAACATATCTGAAGACGAAATACACCCCTCTCCTTGAGTGTATGTGATGGTAAAGGAGACAACTTGCATCCTGTCAACGAATGTGATACTATTTGATACTCGAAATGATACAATGATCATTTAGAAATCAGAATTAAACGTGGAAGAAAATCTGATTATTGAGTGCCCTCAGCCAGAAAGTAAAAATGTAATACATTCAAATGAAAAATAATAATACGTTTCCACTCGAATTAATTTTTGTCAGTAAAACGTAAATATAATCATGCCAATTATGGTTGTCACCCCCTTCAATTTTATTAATAAGCTGAGGGTGACAACCATTATTGGCATGAGTATACAATGTAGTTTCGAGTTCAGCGATCAATATGTATGCATTTATTTCACAATACTGATTTTGGGGTGAAAAGTTGTCAAAAGTCAACCCATGCTGGATCATACTTTTAACATCAAGGATATGACATATAAATTAAAATTCATCAAGACCCGTTTTGCAAATTGTTTTGGATGAGCGCAGTTTAGGTTATTATTGCTAGAGCTTTCTGCAGAAGTGACTAAGAAAAGGTTTACTTACGGCGAACAAGTGGCACACAGCGACAGCCAAGCCGATGGTGAGAGGGGCTGAGCCGCGGAGGTCCTTCCTCACCCCGTCATTTGAGGCAAACACTGCGATGACCAGTACAAAGGTAATAATCAACTCTACCCCGAATCCTTGGGGTGCTGTGACGCCGTTCTTCACCACGGTGGAACCAAGGGTTCCTCTTATGCCACTAGGTGTGAGTCCATACAGAATCCCTGCTCCCAGGATTCCACCCAGGCACTGAGCGATCATGTAGAGCACCCCTCTGACGATGCTGACCCGTCGGGTGACGAGGGTGGCGGCGGTGACGGCAGGGTTAAAGTGACCGCCACTTATGTGGAAGAACGCCCACACCATCGTTCCGACGGCAAAACCGAAAGTTAGGGAGATCTGAACAACGGTGGGATTATGGGGGTCGGTCCAGTTTAGCCATGACCCACACCCCAAAAGGACGATGAATAGGGTGCCGAAAGTCTCGGCAGCTAACGCCCTCCACAAGTTAGGGCTCACCAAATCCTCGAAATTTTCCTGCATGATTCCGTTCTTCATGACCAAGCGTGCCAGTGTAGCGTCTTGTGCGTAACGTCAAGTTTTATACCCCCAGCGTCCGGTCTCCTCATTGGCTGAAACGTCAAGGCTTCATAACAAATTCTCCCAGCCGCGCGTTCCCTCCCTCTCCCTCCCTCCCACCTGGATGTCAGCCCAGCGTCCCAGCGCGGGGGATGAGCTGCATTCTGGGTCCCCGAACATGTGTCCTGCAAGGTGTCAACGCCGCATCATCCCAATATAATCGCCATTGTTCGAGCCGATTTCTATTACGCCAGAGTCGCTAATTGTAGCAACTTATCTTTAGCGGAAATTACACGTATAGCATATCCTGGGGAAATCTGTATTGTGAATGTGATAATTGGACCGGCGTCTTTGTATGTGACATGGGAAGGGTGGTTGTGTTCCCCTACTTATAAACTCTCCTTCCAGTTCACTAACAAGGCCTGGAGTGTGTGTAGCGTTTATCGCCTCCTCTTTGTACAGGCACGGTTCTTCATAACTTTACAACCGAGCGATTCACCATCGCTATCGACAAATGGGGAAATACAAACACGAAATATTACACAGGAAAGTAGCTGTTTACGCATGCTGTCTGACAATATTAAACACAAACATGAGAAACCAGAAAAGGGCTGAGGCATTCCCTAACCGCGTATGATAACTCTTTGTCGCCGGCATACAAACAGGTCTCTTTGGCAGGTGGCCACTCGCACAGATAGGGCACTATAGGGGCTTCTTCAGTGAAGGGAGGGCGCTAGACAAGGTGGATGTACGGCATGGACAGTACTGGAATTTACACACATGAAAGACATGATTCTGCAGAAATCGGAAACGTCATTATTGTTTAATTAAACACATGATTACGTGTTACTTATTAATTAGACATCTTATAAAATCATACATATGGTTAAGTATAAGTGAAACGATTCTGCAGAAATCAGAAACGTGATTACTGATTAATTAGACAGATGATTACGTGTTACTTATTAATTAGACGTATTATAAAATCATATATATGGTTAAGTATAAGTGAAACGATTCTGCAGAAATCAGAAACGTGATTACTGTTTAATCTGACATATGATTACTTGTATATTTTGTATTAGACACCGTTTATAATTATAAATATGGTTAAGTATAAATGAAACGATTCTGCAGAAATCAGAAACGTGATTTACTAAACAGACACAAGATTTCGTGCTTATTTTTAATCCGAAACCTTCCTAAAATTAAACACTAGTCATATACATGAAAAAAAAATACTATTCTACCTAAATCGGAAACGTGATTATTTATAAATAAGACACAGGATTACTCGTGAATACTTAATGAGACAGTATTATAAATTATACACGTGGTAATATATTGATGAAATGATTCTGCATAAACCAGAAACATAATTATTTATAAATCAGAAACACGATTACTTACTTGTCTGTTTTTAATCATATTTGTTTAGAAATTATACCACAGACCCTCTAATACACATGGAATACATGTAATGTTTATTCCAAAATAGACACAACGTGATGTATATACAGGCTGGGTGTCAACGATGTTTAAAACATAAATTACATGAATCTGTACTTTCCTGGTATCGACATTGCTGATGATAGCGCACATAGATGATACATGTTTTATGTTAATTTACGTTACCTTCTTCCTTACTCTGTTAAAATGTTTTGAGAAAATCATACGAGCCTAAATATTTATTATTCATAATCCTTTGTCATTCTTTTATAATATTTTACTTAATCTTTACATATTTTAAAACCTACATGAACTCATGGAAATTTAAGTCAGCAGAAAAAAATCATTTATTCACGCAAAGAAAACAAATAACAGTAAAACTCTAGGTCAAGTACTTACACGGCAAATAATTATTTAATGCATCGGAGTTGACGTCTCAAACGAAACTGCCGTCGCCCCTGACGCCGGATCAACAATGCTGTGCACTTCTCCACGGAGGTAAATATGAAGACAGGTCCCAAACATTGCTTGCAACGTTGTCCGACAGTGATGGAAGAGTTAGTTCAACATTGAGCAGCTCAGCCATAGGGTCTGACACGACACTAATCAATTATTTATTTGACTGTTGCAAACAAACGAGCAATGACATCCTTACTGTCAGTTGATCTCGAGAGTACACATGCTCTCCCGCCTGTATTCATGTACGGCATGTGGTATATTCACACATGCAGCTCAGTGAAGGATTGTGTACGGGCGTATGTGCGTCAAGGACAGAATGCGATTTTTTGTCACCATGCAAAAAGGTAAACGGTTGCATGGGTTGTTGTTTAACGCCGCAATTAGCAATATTCAGCTTTATGGCGGCGATCTGTCAATAATCGAGTCTGGGACAGACAATCCTGTGATCAACAGCATGAGCATGGATCTACGCAATTGGGATACGATGCGAGTTGTTGTTTGTTGTTTAACGCCGCAATTAGCAATATTCAGCTTTATGGCGGCGATCTGTCAATAATCGAGTCTGGGACAGACAATCCTGTGATCAACAGCATGAGCATGGATCTACGCAATTGGGATACGAAGACGTGTCAACCAAGTCAGCGACCCTGGCCACCCGATCCCGTTAGTCGCTTCTTGCGAGAAGAATGGGTTGCAGAAGACCAATGATAACCCGGATCTTCACGGGTTACCAGGGATACAAACGATGACCTAAACCGAGTTCGTTATACGCAATTTTACTGTACTATTTAAGTGGCTGAGACCAAAACCAGTTTGACGTGTGTGAACCAAATTAGCGAGCCTGACCACCCAATCCCGTTAGTCGCTTCTTACGACAAGCATGGGTTGCTGAAGATCAATTATAACCCGGATCTTCCTGGGCCATGGAAAAAGAAAAAGAAAATTGTTTAGTGTCAAACACTGTAAAATACAAATATGACAATATTCATAAAAAGTATGTAAAGTCATGAAACATGTCCTGACGCACCATATGTACAAGATGCATCTGTCTGCCTGTGTTTCTGTCCATCCGTCCCGTGGTTATATAACATCGGTTTACTTAAGATAAGGTGGATATGTAGCAAAAGCTATTTGTTTTCGCTGAAACATTTGGAAAAAATCATTTTGGAGATTTGGGTTTTAAAAAAAACAATTGAGAATTCCACATTGAGAGTCGACCAAGGACATCTTCACAAGTGAAGGGTAGTACTAGTATGCTATATGCCCACAGGTCGCAACCTGAGGTCCAGCTACGATGTACAACCAGACAGAAAATCCCACTTCGTGTTCCACATGTATTGTTATATGTGAGGTTATTAATGTGGTATGCCATGTTTGTTAGACTGACTCCGTGACGACTTGTCCTTGTGTGATCCTCTTATTGCCGAGCACCAGGCAGGGGAACAACAAGTACCATGTTTTGGTGTCACCCGTCAGCGGATCCAACCACCGACCTTCCACTCTCCAGTAGTCTGTCTCACAGTCCCTGAACCACATTATTTTCCCTTAGCCCTCTCTTTTCCCTACTGCCTAGCCCTCTCTGCAGTGCTCAAGCCCTAAATAAAGCAAGTCTAGATTTCCTCAGGTTCTGAATCTCTGGTCTCCCTGGGGCTCCTTTTCAATTTAAATGGGCTTGTTTGTTACTATCAAACTTATATATATTAGTCTAACTCTCCAGGCATACCAGGGGTTATGGGCATAAACTGTTATCGAGGTTAACATTCTTTAAGTCTGATAAACTGGGGTTTTGTTTTGTTTTTCATTTTTTTAAAAAAAAATTTTGTGTTGTTGTTTTGTGTGGGGGGGTATTTTTTTCTGTTTTGCTTTTTCGTGTGTGTTTTTTTGGGTGCATGGTATATCTTGTTATATTGTTTATGTTAATATTTCACCACATGTAGAACCTACAGTGTTAAAGAAGATAAGACTGCTTCCTTATATAGCAGACCGCCTCTGTGGTGTAGTGGTTGGAGCGTCCGCCCGGAGTGCGGAAGGTCGCGGGTTCGATCCCCGACCGCCTCATACCAAAAGACTTTAACATATGGTACTTGTTGGTCCCTGCCTGGCGCTCGGCATTAATGGGTACAACAAGGACTGGTCGGCTCGGAGTCAGTATAATGTGTCTGAGTGGGGTATTCATGCTTCACTGCGGCATGGTATTTCAGTGAGCTAACACTATAAAACCAGCTTCAGTCTGGGCTAGTACAAGCAGGCGCACATACACATACACACGCATGCACGTCGTCATATGAGCGAAATATTCTCAAGCACGACGTTAAACCCAATTCCACCACCACCACCTTATATAGCATTTTGTAATTGTATGATTACATAATTGTTAATTGTAAGTATCACATGTGCCAAGTTGTTGAATGTTACATGTTTCCGTGAAAACAGTGACACGAAAGGACCACTGCACCCTATTGCTTTAGGGTGATCAGGAATTAACTGTTTACATTGACTCGTTTTCATCCTCAGTGACTTGATTGACTGTTTGCCATCGGACTGGCGCTGTTCATAACATCAACCACTGACTTGTGAGGTCCAAATTAATCAACCTGTCTTTCGTCTACATCTTGAATGGCCCTGAGTGCGGCGCTGAGGAACAACAAAACTCATACTATATCAAGCACTGGTTTGTCCAGCCTAGATTTAATGATTTACATTCCGTATATAGCTTGACCATCACTACGTGTGTATTAAACAACAAATAAAAATGACAAGATGTATCCGTAGATAAGCAAAATACTTCAGTCAATCTTCTGTATAGTAGTGGTACACTGTCTCACAGTCCCTGTACCACATTATTTTCCCTACTGCCTAACTTTCCGTACAATGTAAAACCCTAAATGAAGTCTAGATCGATTCCCCCAGGCTCTGAATTTCCCATCTGACTGGCTCTCCTTTTCAATGTAATGGGTTTATTTGTTACTATCAAAATTATATATTTTCAGATACTAAGAGTTAGTCTGTCTGTTGTTCTTTTGGCACAGTTTCGCTATTATCGGTCACACGTCCCGTGGGTTCAAGCATTGCAGTCTTACCTTCACCCTGTTACCCTCAAATCTGACGGTGTTGCCAAATGACGCAAAACCATATCGGAACAAAATTGGGTCAATGAGAAAATCTAG